ATGGCAGGAGGGGATGCCGTGTGCCTGTGCTCATGGGAGCCATCTCCCTCGGCCCCAGAGCTACCATCTCTCTGGCAGGCTGTTACTGATGCATATGATGGCAGGCGTGCAGCAGGTCGGCTTCCCTCCTTCCATGATGGAATAAAAGCTCATCCTCATTCCCCACAGCTGATTCCTCACTGGCTGGCATTGCGTTTCACACCAATCCTATTAGTCCATTCCCTGCGCTGTGGTAGCCCAGGTTAATCTTTGTGCCAGCAGCAACTACCAGTCACAGGCTCCTTTTTGCATCATGGCCAGAAAGAGAAGTGTTCAAGACACTCAGCCCCACAGGCAATGTACGAGGAAGTGGCAGGTACCTGTGTTGAGCCCTGCAGCACCCGCCCAGCACCAGCTGGTGTGGCGTTCCCCCAGCCGGGCCCATGGTCCCATCCCTGCCCGGCCTTCACAGCTCAAATGCACGGCCACTCACTCACACATAAAATACTCTCTGCCCTAGTGCCACACCAGCAATTTTACTGAAGGCCAGAAAAATTAGCACTATTGTGCTTAGCTAGCCTAGAAAATAATTTTCTGGATATTCGAAAGAAGCTTTTGTTGTGGGTGAGGGGCAGCTAGAGGATCTGGCAGTGAGCTGGAGGTGATCAGCTCGATATTGCACCATTGCACCAATACTGCATCAGTTCTGACCCCAGCAGCAGCCTTCCTGTGAGGAAGACAGGGGTTTTAGCTTGTTGTAAGAAGCTGCTATAGGGGTAGGGACTGTACAAATCCACTTGTTTTGCAAATGATCTCTGATCTCTGAGCTCTGAAAGTGTTTTTAGCTTTTTTATAAATGCAGCTCTTGGGATCCAGCAGGCACTAGGACCTGCCGGAAGCCTTTACACCCAAGACTGTACAGCATGGATAAATATAGCACAGCCCAGCTGGCTTGCAGGGCAGCACGCCCGAATGCTTTGCTGGGGGAAGGAACCCGCACCCCGACCCCGCCAGCGTCCCGCCACACCGGGGCCGTGCCGTGGAGGAGGCGTCGACCTGGGAGCTCTGCAG